ATAGACCTGTCTAGACCGTTCTGAAGTAGTACGGATTGTCCTAGACAGTACCAGAAGAGTCCGGAAGCATAGCTATAGTACACGAGCAGAGAGTCCCAAATATGGTAACATACTACATAAGCGACTACAGCTAAGCGCTAGGAGACGCATAGCCTCGTGTAGTCCGGACCGGATAAGTCCAAGTTCAACAGATTCCGCAGAAGATGGTGTCCGTGGCCCGCAAATTTTGGACATTCAGTCCACCTGAGGTCAACAGATCGAGCCTGTTAGAGCAGGAGGACTTACCTGCTGGAGCGAGAGAGGCCGTTGCGCGGGCGATTGCAGCCGCACACCGCGAGTCCGATGCCGCGTTCCTTGCCCGACTGTCCGTGCAGCAAGTTCGCGACGAGCTTGTTGGAGCGCTCGGTGGGACAACTGGAACCTGGAAGGAAACCGAACAGGTTTGTAATGATGTCCGACACACCCCGCTTGCCAGCGGTAGCAGAGGGCCCGGGGAGCTTCAGCATGGAGAGCTCCACGTTCGAATGGAAGACAGGTCGGGCGATGTTGGAGCGCAGCTGGGTCGCGAAAGCACAGCTGAGCGGGACATAGAAGACGGGCGACAACAGACCCTTGACGTACCTCTGCGCGACAAGGTCCCCGGGCCTCACAGCAGCATGGATCGCGTTGGGATCCGTCTGGGATACCATGGCCCTGTTCGGCATGACAGAGAAGATGTCAGCACCGTTCAGCATGACAAGGGAGGGAGCGGCGCTGTTGAGCGCGGCAGAGCAGTTCAACGTGGCGCACCTGTGCACGACCATGCCCCCAGACCTCAGAGTGGCATGGATCGCGTTGAGCTCCGTCTGGAGCACCATGGCACTGTTGAGCGTGGCAGAGAAGACGGCGGCGCTGTTCAGCGCGACAGGGAGACTGCTGGGCGCGACAAAGAGGATGGCGGCGTTGTTGAGCACGGCAGAGAAGACAGCACTCGGGTGCCTCTGGACAATGTCGACCTGGAATACGCAGGGTACCTGTCAGATATGTCAGAAGACGTCGAGGACCTCCTTCCGGAGGGCACCCGAGAGGAACAGGATGACTGATACGAACACGAGCACGGCTCACCTGCAACCCCAACCGTCCCCTCCGCCCCTGACCCCCCATCCATTTCTCAATACCTCCCCTCTGAGCCTGTCCCAATGTCCTCCAATGCGCCCTCAAAACCCCTACCCACACCCCAGAACCCACGCAAGAAGCACAACGTACCTGTTCGTATAGCACGCCAGAACGCGCAACGTGCTGCCCGAGAGGCCCATGAAAAGGCCGTCGACGACTTGAAGAAGCTCTTAAGCTCTCGAAAGGCGACCCTTGTGGAGGGGAGCAACGGGTTGCAGTCCTATCGGGCGCGGGCTATACAAGCTTGCTTGTACCTGATGGTCCGGGATGGGATGGGCATGATGGCCGCGTCCGAGCTTGCAGTGCGGGCCAATCTCTTCTCCGGGAAGTGGGGGGCGTGGCTTGTCTGCCAGTGGACCCAGGTGTGGGTGAGGACAAGGATGTTGCCAGAGTCCCAGCGTGGGCGGCGTACCAAGGTCATGTCAGTTCTGAGCCATCCCACGGTGCGCGCAGCTGTGCGCACATGCCTTCGCTCAGAGAAATGGAGCCAAAATCCTGTTAAGCTCAAGCAGTTGTTGAATAACGAGCTCAGTCCGGACAAAGCCCATCAATATCGCCGTGTGCTCGAGTCAGAAGAAATGCCCAATGGGCTGAAAGACTTCATTACAACCGAGGTCCTCCCCCGATACCATCTCAAAGCGGGTCGCCTTAGACTGTCCCGCTCATCCATGCACCGTCTCCTCCTGAGTGAGGGTTTTGCCTGGTCAGAACATCGGAAAGCCATCTATCACGATGGCCACGAGCGACCCGATGTTGTGAAAGATCGCAACGAGCGCTTCATCCCAGCAATGCAGACCATTCGCAACCGCCTTGTCCGATACCAGGTTGGCACTGTGGACAAGGAAGTCGAAGGAACTGAGTGCAAGTTTGCTTATGTTCAGCCACGACTTGTTCTTGTTGCACACGATGAGATGACCGCACAAGCACACGATGGGAAACACTGGAGCTGGGTTCTGAACGGTGAATATTTTCTCAAGAAGAAGGGACCCGGGAGGGGATTACATCAAAGCGACTTCATTTGCTCAACTGTGGGCTGGCTCCGAGAGGCAAGCATCACATTGGAGTATGGTAAGAGCCATGAAGGCTTCTGAAATGGTGAGATGTTCTGCAAACAGGTATGGGGAATCTATATCCAAGCAAATATTGAGTTACTTATACTTGCTGCAGCTTATCGAGAAGTTCTTTCCTGCATTCAAGAGGGCACACGGAGAGGGACATATTGCAGTGATCCTTGTGGACAACTCCCAGAGTCACTCATGTTATGCACCTGATGCTTTGCGGGCCTCCAAGATGAATATGCACCCTGGGGGAGCACAGCCATGCATGCGAGACGGGTGGTACCTGCGAGACGGCAATAAGGTGACACAGGCAATGAATTTCCCCTCAGATCATCCAGAGTTCCCCAGCCAGCCAAAGGGGATGAAGGTTGTTCTGATGGAACGTGGGTTATGGCGCGCCAAGCTTCTGATGAAATGCAAAGGTGGTTGCGAAGAAGACGCTGCGGACTGCTGTGAGCTGCGGATTCTTGAGCGGCAACCTGACTTCGAAGCTCAGAAGTCGCGTGTACAGGAGATTATCGAAAATGAAGGCAAGTAAGCTCATCAAATATTTTGAATTAACTCTGAAATGTCAATAGGCCATATCTGCATATTTCTACCGAAATTTCACTGCGAAATCAACTTCATCGAGTACTTTTGGGGTGCGGTGAAACATTGGCTCCGGGAGCATTGCGACTATACATTCGAGACTCTCCGCGAGAACATGCTGAAGGCTTTGCGATCAGTCTCAGTTGAGCTGATACGGAAATGGGAGCACCGGGCTTGGAGATTCATTGATGCATATGCCAAGGGTCTTGGAGCATGCGAGGCCCAGAACAAAGTCAAGGAGTTCAGTTCTCGTAGATATAAGTCTTACCGTCGCATCCCAGAGCAGCTCGCGCAGGCGATGGACATTACATGAAATTACTGCAGCATGTTATGTAATACAACGAACTTCCATATTGGGAATAGACGCTCAAGTCATGTGATACCCGTGATTTGGGGAGGTCGTCTTGGCCAGTTATCATCCAATGAAAAAAACTTTTCTGGGGATCTGTTCCCCCTGTGGAATGCTTGCCAATGACAAGTTATGGGACGACTTTGTTAGAAGCTGCGGGACTTATAGCACAGCGCACATGCGGGCACTTACCACGTCCAAAAGTGGTGGCGACTTAGTGAACTGCACCATAGCTAGCTTTTCTTGGGCACAGTTGGCGACTTCTACCCGGGTTGTAGGCATCTCCAGCTTGCTTGCTTCCTGGTTGCCTCAACAGGCGTTCAAATCTCGTTGCTTTCGCACGTGGCTCTCCATCTTACATCGTGTTTCCCTGTCTCCTGGCTGTTTTGGATCCGACAACAGCAGCGGAACCTCCTGTCTCTTCGGACGAGGAAGTTGAACAATCTATCAACTCCACATCCTCCGAAGAAGAACCTCCTTTTGATTGTCAAGGTCTATCTCACATCTACGACTTTGAGGACGGTTGTGATCGAGCATACGAGCTTGATACTGCAGAGTGGCGCCAGTGCGACGAGGATATCTGTCCCAATCATTTTTCAGGACCACTTAGTCCAGAAGATTTTCCCTCGAGCTTCCCCTTTGCGCTCTGCTCCGATCCTTAGACAACCGAACCGTTTATCCGCGCAGCTGCCTTTGGATTACCGGACTCAGAGCCTCCAACGCCAGTCCCGGTATCCATCCCTCTCTTCTATCTCGAGCAAGACTTTGATTCTTTCTTCCGCGCTCCACCTCCATCGCAACCAGACGACTTCTTCAATCGTCATCTCCTACTCCATTCCCTCGTCATGTTGGACAAAGTTGACTCGAACTCTCTCTCCTCCCTTTCCAACATCAACCAGTACCCCAACTGGGCTGCGCAGATGAAGGGCTATCTAATCATGATTGGTTCCTGGACCATCACCAACTCGGCACCCGCTACTACGGCTACTACTGCAACGGCTGAAGAACTTAAGGAGCATGACCTTAAGGTTCAACGGGCCCAGGGTATCATCATGATGAAGGTCGATCGTTCACTCCATCGTCTCCTCGAAGATGATGCTGGCAATCCCAAGCAACCACATGCGATGTGGAAGGCTCTCAAGGACACCTTTGGCACT